CCCCCCCCCCCTGGATCCGCCCTTGTCTGTCACCGGCAATATTTTTATTATTATGGAACGAAACCCCTTATAAATTCCTATTGGGAGCTTCTTACGTCGAAAGAAATCCATTGAGCTCATAAAACACGCACGTAAAGCTTTGATTTGGCGTGCTAAGGGGTGAAGGTCGAGTTTTTAAAAAAATATATCAATTGTCTGAAAATGGCCCAAATTCTACATCATTCTCTTCCCATAGAAGCAGGAAATCCATCAAACCTATTGAAATCACGCTAGAAGCTTCAGATCTGAAATAATTGACATTTTCAGTTCATTTTAAGCCGTTTTTGAGCTTTAACCGACGATTTCTTCCTTATTATTGACCCAAACATTTTATACATGCATATTTGTGACCTTACGTCAGTCGATTGGGCTCAAAAAACACGCATGTGAAATTTTGATTTTTGACCGAAATTTTTCCAAGGGTGGAGGTCGATTTTTTGAAAAAATGAAAATTTTCTCAAAATATCTTAAATTTTACATCATTTTCAGCTAACGGACGCTATAAATGCATCAAACTAATTGAAAAACCTGCTAGAAGTTTCAGATCCAAAATAATAGACATTTTCAGCACATTTTAAGCATTTTGTGAGCGCTCACGATCTTTTAACCGAATATTTCTTCCGTATTATAGAACTAAACACTTTTTAAATGCAATTTTGGGAAGCTTTTTACGTCTCGTTTTGCGAGAGAGAGAGAGCATTGAGAACAATGCGTCGAGCTCATTTTCATAGGTGTGGAGGTGGATTTTTTGAAAAAAATTCAATTGTCTCAAAATGCTTCCAATTTTATCATTCTCTTCCCATAAAGGCAAGAAATCCTACAAACTCATTGAAAAACACGCTAGAGACTTCAGATTCGAAATAATCGACATTTTCTGCCCAATTTAAGCGATTTTTGAACGCTCACGATCTTTAACCGTCGATTCCTTCCGTATCATAGAACCAAACACTTTATAAATGCATATTTAGGAGCTTCTTACCAGAAAAGCAATTCATCGAGCTCAAAAAACAAGCATGTGAAATATTGATTTTTGACCAAAATTTCACGTCGATTTTTTGAAAATACATATTCTCTCAAAATGCACATATCATGAATTTTTTTTTTTATTAAATTATTTTCTTCTCATGAAAGCAAGAAATCCAACAAACGCATTGAAAGTCACACTAGAAGCTTCACATCTGAAATAATTGACATTTTCAGTTCATTTTAAGGGGTTTTTGAGCATGCACAATGTTAAGCTTCTTTCGTTGAAACTGAGTTAAAAAAAACCGGCATGTAAAATTTAAATTCTTGACCGAAAATTTAATGACTCCGCACGTGCACACTGATGCTCGTTTGTCATCATATTATACGAGACGCGTCAAAAATCGGCGATTAATAGGCGTCGCGACGCCTCGGTGCATAACATTAGGCGATCGGAGCCAAGGGGGCCGCTGACATGTCTCTTGTTTCTGTAACAGGTGCTCCTGCCACCCCTCGTTCCATTTCTAACCCATATTTTGCGGTTCGGTTGTCTTCATTGTTTTTCTGCTCTGGACTGTTTCAACTAAAGCGACATCGTTGGTGCAACGCGACTCGTCCCAAGCGATCAGGTGTTGTGATTTGTTTAGGTTACCATGGAAACGCCATTGTGTTTGCGATGTCGTTCTGCGTCCAAACTGTTTGCACCATTTGTTCATTTCCGTGCACAAGTAAAGGTTTAAGAGGTTTGTTAAAGGTTGGCCTGAAAATGGCAAAATGTTTGCCAAATTTAGGGAAAATCTCACGCTTTCCTCAATGCGCCCCCGGCCCAAAGAGCTTTGAGTAAATGTTTACACAACCACACGACACACGACGACAAACTCGCAGCCACCGGCTACGGATCCGTTCGATTCCAATATGCCCTTTGACGTGGACACGTGACCCGCCTCCTCAAAGGGCCAATATTGCAATTCGCCCTTTTCCGCCTGTCTGTTTTACTTTCGCTCGAATTGTTACATTCGCATGATAATATTTGGCCAACGCTCTCATGAAATGATTTGATATTTGCCCAATTGACCCCTTTTCCTCATATGTACGCTTTCATCACGTTTTGTCGACATTTAATGAAGTTTACCTGTCATAATCCAGCCGACAGTACAGTTTGGAATCCCGAACGAAGCACGTGTGATGCAAACGGTCGCCACACGCGCAACATTGTACGCAGTGCTCGTGATAGGATACGTCCATGATGCGCAGCAGGAAACGATCGCTGATTGGCCGACAGCACAGCCCGCACAGGCCAATACCAGCAGCTGAAACAATTTCGAAGAAAAAAACGGTTTTATCATCATGATTTGAGCAGGAATTTACGAGGGCAAGTTTGGCGTTAATTAAAAATATAAATTACCCGAACAAACGGTCATTGTTGGGCCGTTTTATGTGTCGGGGGTCCATTAGGAGGCGCGATGCGGACCTTTTCATCTGTCAGCAGGCGACAGCAGGACAAACAGAGAAACTCATTCGGCTCAGTCTGCAAACACATAAACTGCAGCGAATTGACTAATCGACCCCGGTGATGGTGGAGTTTTCGAAACGGGCCTTTGCAGCAGGAAAGCAATGTTTACTTGGCCGAAGAGTACTTTGGGAAGTCTTAACAGTTGAGCTGAAGCAAGGGGCACAATTGGAAATGGCCCGGTTGAAAGACGAATGGGTCCGAAGACGGAAAAAAGGTCAAAAGTCTCGACGAGTTCAATAAAGCCAGGAGAACAACTTTGGATGAGCGACTAACGGGTCACTTGGGATGTTCGGAAATAGACTGAAATGTTCTTTCTTTCCAGCAGCCAGATTTCGGCCAACTTCCAGAATAGAGCAGGCTGAAGCTGCAGTGCCAATTTTGGTCATTGTTCCAGATGGACATTTGGCTGAACACTTGCAAGAAGCCGATGATAAATTACTCGTGGTGTCGGTGCATGTAATATGCCATTTAGTTGTCCCGGTTGAGGGTGTTAATCCGATTTCCACCCTTTTGCTAACTATTTTACAGCGATTTTATGCCTTGTCATGCCTATTAGCGATTTAAAATTCGACTTTTTTTATTGGGGGCCGAGCCTAAGTCGCCCCTATGAACAATCATTTGATGATTGATTTCATTTATTCGCAAAATCATCCATTGCCTCTGGCGATTTTTTTTTTCATTTCCTGTGTAGATATGATGTGGACTACCGACATGCGGTTACAGGTGGGCATCTGAAAATCCATAAGTCGCAAACGCCAGCAGGGGCGGATCCAGCTTGAAATTTAGGG